AGATACCATCTTCTCAGAGAATTTCGTGACATGAGGGTAGTTATGCCATGCTGGCCTCTCTGTCTTCTACTGTTTCATGCCATTGTCTACACACCCAGCTGGCTTGCTTAATGAAAGGTCTTGCTAATCACTTTCTAATTTGAACCAGATAAGATTGGATAGAAACTTTTAAAATGAGTCTCAACTCTGGTGTCTGCATCTACCTTCTTCTTGTTCCTTTCCTTTTTCTGGGCTACAACTTTCTCCCTTTTCCAAAGTGTCTGAGAAAACTGCAAAAGGAAGAAACCTCAGAGGCATTAGTTTAAAAGAGCAAAGGCTTATGTAGCAAAAGATGAAAACAAAGAGTATATGTAGGTTTTGAAATTGGAGAAACTTATTCAAATCTTTACTTTTCTTCCTCTATCGGAACAAATGTGTGTGTGTGTGTGTGTGTGTGTGTGTGTGTGTGTTAATGGAGGTAAAGTCAATTCATCATAAACAATAATGGAATTAACTAATCTGTGTTTTGAAAAGATTGATAAGGTACCCAGCCTATGAGGTTGAAATGGGAAAAACTAAACTTTACTGAGAAGAAAGTAGAGCATTTGTTCTCTGTATAAATAAAAGCCTAGAACAATGAGATGGATCTATATTCTGTGATTCTGGTGATGGATATGAGAGACACAACTCAGTGAGAGAAGACTTCCTCCTAAAGCATTCCCAAATACATAGACAGCTAAAGATATCTAGTAAGGAAAATAAAGAAAAACAAAAGCCATTTGAAAACAGTGCTATTTTTCATTCACTCTCAAAATGAAATATGACAGTCTTTGTACAAGGATTTTGCCAGTCCAAGAGCACACACAGTTCACCAGACCCTACACAACATCACTCCCTGGTTCTTTTATTTGATATTTATGTGAATTGGCTCTAGAACCCATACCAAATAGCAGCCTTTCAGATTTGTTCTGTCATAGAATCTAAAGGCAAAAATGTATATGAAAGTACATTTTCATCTAGACTGCAAATGCAGAGGTTCCTTCAGCATGTAAGGGATCTACTTCTGTCTGTGCATGTCTACATTTCTCTATGGACATCTTCAGTTTTTTGTCCATCAGGGAACTTTGAGAAAGTGTGGGTTAGTATCTTCACTTCTTCAGCAACCTATTGAGTGGCATATAAATTATTAAAAACTGATGTCCAAAATGCTTGTGGAATGTCATTGATTAAGTAAAGGCCTTTATTTATAGAAAACACAAGATTGACTATAGGGTAGGGACATGGAGAACATATATAAGCATTTAAGCATGTGCAGAGAATATAGAGAAAAGATGTATGAAATATGCATCTGTGTACTATTTCTGAAGTCACTGGGTGAGTTACTGAGTATATAGAGAAGAGGTCTGGAAGTTGTAGATGGGCCTGTACATCTGTAGCCAGTAGATGAAAACTGACTCATGCTGACATGCTTGTGGCTAACAGTTTTCCATGTTTTGGTAAGGTCACTGAGTTCATTCCCAGATAAATGTTCAGTTAAAAAAAAAGAGCCTTTTCCAAGAGAGGGTTTCACTATGTACAACTGTATGGTCTGGAACTCACTATGTAGACAAGGCTGGCTTTGAACACACGGAGACCTGCCTGCCTATGCATTCTGAGTGCTAGGATTACAGGCGTGTACCACCTTGCCTAGCAAAATAGACCGTTTTGATATTGGCGAGCAGTAGCCAGTCTTTTGTAGTAGGGTTAACAAATGTGAGAAAATTAGAATCTGTCAAGGATATAGCAACCATGTGGTGCAGAATTTACCTGGATGCCCCGATCTGTTACTTCTCACTCCTGAGGTTAGAGCTTTGGGGAGAGAATTCCACTCTCACTTCACATAGGTCTCTAAGATTGCTCCTTATCCAAAAAGATTTGGTCCAGGTCCTGCTGGGAAAGCCCACAGGCAAGTAGGCAGTCCATTAACTCCTTCAACTATTAACTCTTTCATTTCCACCCCTGGAAGAATAACGGACTGCTCTGCTCTGCTCTCCTGTGGCTCCTAAAGTATGTCCTTTAGTCACCAGAAAGCAAGGTCTGTTATTTACACACTGTGTTATTTGGCACAGGTAACATTATTTTAGGCAATGGCTTACGTGACAACTGAACAAAAATCTCTGCTAATTTGGCATCTAGAGCCCTATCTTCCTAGGAGTCCCTTTTTCCTTTCACATTACCTTAGTTGAAGCCATAATCATTGACTACTGCTATATATTTTGAGTAACCTCTGCTTCTACCCTAAACCATTCTTTCCAGCTCCAGTCTTAGCACTGAGGCTGGAGTAAATTTTTTCAATAGCAGATTTTCTGTTTCCATTTCACTTTAAGAGCCTCCAGGGAATTTCCTTCAGCAATCAAACTTTTAAACTTTTTTTTCCATAGTGGAGAATAAACCCAGGACTGCTGAGTTACAGCCCCACCTCTTAAATTAGTAGACAAGCCCTCAGGCACTGCTAAATTGCTGAGGTTGGCCTTGAACTTGCAATCCTCCTCTCACAGACTGCCTAACGCCTGGATTACAGGCCTATCCCTCTGCTCAAGGCTAATTCTGAAGTCTCAATGGGTCACCCTCCTGCAAGATCTGGTTCTTATCCTTAGTCTCACTCCTCATTTGTTTGAGCCTCCCAGTGGGGAGCCTAGTCTTGAGCCTTCAGGAGCTACTTGCTCTTTGTAAACATACTGTATTCACTCACACCTTCTTGTTTTCTCCAATCTGATGCAATGCCAATGTTGAAAAGGCCCTTTCAGTCCTCCTTGCTTAGCTAGCAACAATTAATTTTCTTCTTTTAATTTTAATTTTTATTTATATGTGTACTGTATTGTGTAGATGCATGTAAATGCACCCACTGCTGTGCAATGCCCACAGAAGTCAGAAGAGTGCATTGGATCCCCTGGAACTGGAGTTACTGACAGTAGATAACCACTGTGTAGGTGCTGGGAACTGAACCTAAGTCCTCTGCAAGAGCAACCAGTGCTTTTAAAGGCTGAGCCATCTCACCAGCCCCAAATTCATTTTCTTTAAAAGACATTTTTTTGATAGAAAGTCATTTGAAATGTACAAATCAGTGGCTTTTAGCTTAATTATAGAGTTTTCCCAAATTGCCATGATTTAATGTCAGTATAATAGAGTTTCACCAAAGAAACCTCCTACCCATTAGCAGACACTTTCCATTTCCTTCCTCTTCTTTCTTGGCCCAGTCCTCTGGCAAGCAAAAATCTACCTTGGATCTTTAGATACTTGGCTAGTCCAGATTCAGCTTTCAAAAACACAGGTGTTACCTCTTCTTGTTTACCTCCCAATTCCCTGATTTCACATTCTGTTTTCTGGGCTCTAAAAATACTTTGTGCAGGACCCTGTCTTCATTAATCTACAGCATCCTTGCTTGCCATTGCCACAAGAAGTGATGTATTTATTTCTCAATCCCCAGTGTCTAATACTTTGACTGGCCCATTGGTAGTGCACCATAGCTGTTGCCTGAAGGTATGAATAACAAGGAGGAAAATTTCTCAAGGAGTAAATAAAAGATGAGTGAATATACACATAAAGACAGTCAGTGGGTGCCTAAGTGATCATTTTTCAGCTCATTTGAACTTGGATAATCTCAGCAATCACCACACTGTTGGGTCTTCTATTTCTGTCACTGATAGGCATGTTACAGAAACTAGTGAAACATTACCATAAGTGGTATAGAAGAAGTATATCCTCAGGACATATTCATGATATAACAATTTAATCTTTATCTGCAGGACTAATAGCAATATTCTTATCCAGTCTTTTTATTTGAGTACACAGTCTCTCCCTCCTTCCTTCCATCCCTTCTTCCCTCCCTCCCTCTCTTCTTCTCTGCTCTATTTCCTGTCCTCCTCCCACCTTTCTCTCTCTTCTCTCGGATTACACACCCTTGAGACACTTGTCTCTGTTTTTATGATACACTCAGAATATCTAACAATATAGACCTTAAGGTTAAAAAAATATTTCAGCATGAGATGTCTGAACATGAATCCACTTTGAAAACTGTTAAAATGTTCCATTTTGATGTGACATGCTTATTTTTCATGAGTGGATATTAAAAAGCTCATTAACAAGGGAATATAAAACAATTTGAAATCACAATGAAATTACAAAGATGTTAAAAAGTCTGTCACCTCTTTTTCAGCATTTTGGGGGGCTGGAGACAGATTGCAGGTATACCTTGACGCTGACCACCATGGTCTGTAATCCACTTCTGGCTTTCTATGTCTTTCTTGCTTCTCTAATCTGTTCTTCTAATGTCTTTATCTCTCTTGCCTTCATTATGGATCTCCCTCTCTCTTTTCTTCTTTCTTCTCTGCCAATTGCCATTTTCACATGTGAGCTCTTCTTTAAATTTCACTGTTTCTCTTCCACTCTGTTTCATACTTATTTCTGACTAGCCTATTTTTCTTTCTTTCCTATTGTTATTTTCACCAAGAATAGGGTAGTGTACGAAGAGGAGGTGAACGAGAAAGAGGAAAGACTGATAGGGGGTCTGTCCTGCACCTATCTCATTTAATTAACACAAAAGAGGATATGTCCTGGCCCAAAGTATACATATTTCTCCACTTAATGTAAGGCACATAAATTCTCTGTGCCTTATCTTTCTTCTCTCTAAAATTAAAATAAAATGATTTAGTTCAAACTCCCTCCAAGAGATGTTAGGATCAGACTTGGGAATGAATATAAAAAAAAGTTTTGAAAAAAAAAAACAAAAACAGATCACTGTTACTGAGAAGCCCTGGGCAGCGTGAGGGCTATGCTACCTTGTACTCTGCAGGGATCACATCAAGAGAGGATGGTAGTCCTTACCCTTTTGAGGAATGTGTTTCTTTTCACTTTGGTTTTGTTCATCAAGTCACTTGATTGTGTACATTGTTTGAATGCTCATAGTGTCTTAGAAGGGGAAAAATAGCCCTTTTTTATGCAATGTAGTTTTTACCCTCTCTTTTTTTCTTGCCTTGGGTTAGCAAATGGAACCTCCAGCAGCCAGCTTTCCACACCGAAGTCTAAGCAATCTCCTATCTCTACACCCACCAGTCCTGGAAGTCTTCGGAAGCACAAGGTATTATGTCTCTTATACCTTACTAAACCCCTTAGCACTCAGAGTTTCTTAAATAGCTGGGTGGAGGTTTCCTCACCCATTGCATCACATTGAAGTCAGAATTCCAAACCTTCATTGACTGCATTAACTTGATGTCCAACAGAGAGCAAGTCTCGAGTTACTTTTATTGATTCCCCTGACCCTTGCTTAAAACAAATACAGTTATATTATAGACACTTCCTCCATAAGAGTACCAAGGTCTCAAATGCTCATTTTAAAGTAATGATAGAAAGCAAACCACAAGTACTTGTCTCACCAATTCCAATGTATAGTGAGGGGATGCTGAGGGCAGCTTATGTCATTAAGTACCAGTCAATGGAAATAGAATAAATAAAGTGGTTAAAAGCTGCACAGTCACTCTCTTTAGCTTTGTTGGACATTGATGAACAAATGGACCCCAGTTTCACTGTGTATTCTTCAATAACAGGCACCATTTTGACTCCTGAGCTTTCCCAAAGAAAATACATCATTAAATACATCATTAAAGCAACAAGTGTAGGGCCCGGAGGCGTAGCCCAGCAATGGAGTATTTGCCTAGGACGCATAAGGCTGTGGGCTTTGTACACAGAACTGCAAAAATTATTAATAATAGAAATCTATAAATGCCCTAATCTCAGTTCCTCAGTATATTCTTGTCCAGAAATCTCTCCTGTGTGGAGAATCTGGAATATTCACTGCTTTAAATCTCTTACACCTTAAATAATATGGATGTACTTTTTTCCTCTGATCCATAAGGCTTGGTGTGAGATAGAAAAAGACAAAATCCTACCAAATGCCCAGCCCTATCATAGAGCCATAGAAGACCAAACAGAAAGACTTTTTAGATGGAAATAATTTATTTGATTGTTTCAGTGATATGGGATTTAACAGACAAAAAAAAAAATTGAAGCCAATCCTGACAGCTAAATTCCTAAGTAAGGCAACACAATTAGCAATAGAACTAGTACACAGGTCACCAGTGGTGGTATGCCAATGTCAGTTCACACTAGCTTTTGACTTGATTTTGTACCTCAGTTTTAACTTTGTATTCAGTGACATCGTGCTAACGTTAACTTGGCCACAGCAGGACTATTCAGACCGTAAATCTGCAAATAATATACATCAAGGTTACCATTTTTCCCACAGAAAGTCAGTTGTTAACTAATAACAGGACTGGTGATGGCTACTGCCAGGCCTGGCAAACTTAGTTCAATCCCCAAGGCCCACATGTTGGAAGGAGAAGCTGATTCCTGATTTCACCTCTGACCTCTTCATGTGTGCTGTGGTACTTGCATACTCACATATACATGAAAGATAAATAAGCACAGTCTTTAAAAATTTGAAACTATTTAACAGCATATCACTGTTTGACATCTATTTTCATTCTCTTTTCACTACATCAGACTTTTGTTTTCAGGTAACTTGGCCCTTGCCTGCCCTATGATTGCTAATGTCTGTTGCATTCCTTTAATGACTCCTTTTATTTCTGGAATTGACCACACCTTCAGTTTGTCCTGCTGAGCTATTGGATTTCAGGGTGTGCTGAGCTGTCTCTGTCGACTGTGTTACTGGGAGATTGTGAATTAAATGGAAGTCACTTTTACAGTCAGTTTTGTTATTTGCTAAGTAGAAAAATTTGTTAATATGGGCATTGCAATGTGGAAAAAACTTGCTCTGATGTTGAAGTTTCCATAAAGATCTTCCCAGACTACACTGATTCTTAGTATATCTTTGTCATATGCCTTTCTGAAACTACCTTACTTTCTAGGACATGTGCTCTACCCGAGCCCTTCCGTCATGCCTTTCAGAAGGACTGGCGGCAGATGGGATATTTGTTTTACACAGCTTTTCCACTGAGTGACTGTTCACCCAGTTAATTCAGGTTGAGGATCCATTCTCCATAAACCCTTGAGGTGAATTTCAGCATTCTCACATTGTTTCTCCTGGTTGGGCTTGCAGGCTCTTGGGGCTTGTTTGTTTTTGACTCAGTTCCATAAAGGATTTTAAGTACTAAAGGACTGGAAAATATTCATGGGTGGCAGCATGGCCAGAGCTTCACTGTTCTCGTCACTGTAGAATTCTCACCTCACTTTATTCTTATTCTTTAAATTACTTTTTGTTAAGACATTTAGGAAAAGAAACATGAAGTAATAAATTACATCATAGTTTTCTAGGGCAAACTTTTAAATAAAACACACATTTAGATTTTTGTATCTTTTCAAACTCATAGAAGAGTTGTACTAATAATAAAGTCTTTGTATTCTCTACACAAGTTCACTAGTTAGTTACATTTTGTTGTTTTCTGTGTACTCATTATCTGTATATACATATACATAATATAACCTTTGCATATTACTTTTTTCTGATTCAATTTGAGATTAAGTTGAAAGTATCATAACCTTTTACCCCTAAACATCCAGTATATAATCATCACCATCATACAATTATCAAAATCATGGGCTTTAATCCACACAGACACATTACTAAATGTTCTATAGTCTATATTCAAACCTTATCAGTTGCCTCAATAATATTCTTCTGGTCCAGGATCTAATCTAGGATCAAATGTCACATTCAGTTACAACATTCTTTTAATATTCTTTAATTGGGAAATGTTCCTAACACTTTATTTTTCAGAGCAATACATTCTAGAAATGAAGAGTATGGTCAACTGTATTTCAATTTGGGATTATCTAAGGATTCCTTTGGAGTAGAATATGGCCATGCATCTGAGGCAGGGATATAGACTGAGTGATGTGGCATTCCTCTCTGTGCATCGGATCAGAAAGCTATGGCATCCCATTTACACACCAGTAATGGAGATTGAGCTGATTATTTTTAGACTAAGCTAAAACCCTCTTATGGCCTTCCCTCAATCTTCCTGAATCCCATGTCCGAGTTTTGCATCTGTCCTTTCACCCAGCTACCTGAGACTTAGTACCATCAATCTCCTTGGGCAGTGGCCAAAGCAGATCTCATCTGAACTTCTGTCCAAATGGACCTGAAAGGTGTGAGTCATGGTAGAGACAGGAAGCAGGTGGCTGAGGCCATGACTTACCTCCTGCGCAATTGGAAACAATCTTGAAGTCCCAGCATCCCCTTGGTAAATTTTAATGGCTGTGGCAGGGCCCTAAGCTGTAATCAGATGTTTGGCTTCTCTTAAGCAGCTCATGGAGAATCCTCTTTAATGCAGCTGCAATGGGGTTAGCCAAAGTCCGCATACTCAAGTATTACAATATGGACACAAAGTACATCTTAGGGAAGTTAATGAGAACAGCATTTCATTTTGCCTTCCTATAATGCTTTAACCTTTTGCAAAGCCATGTTCTCATTTATCCTTGTAATATCCCTATGAAAGAGATAGGGCAGATAGATAGCCTTCCCATTTTACAGATGAGAAAAAAATTACAGAGATTAAAGACAGCCTCTGCTGTGATTCAATAAACATGTATTGAGGACCTGCTTGGAAACTAATACCATGTTAAAAATGTTTTCTAAAAATCTAAAAACATGGGGAAACTCTTTTGTTTAATTAAAATTATTTCCAGATTTGTGATTACACCCATTGCTTTAAATGTAGAGACATTTTGCCTACAAAGCTTCTGCAAATGAAAGTATATCTGACGTATTATCTGAACATATAACCAATATCACTTAAATATACACTTCTTTCTGTTTCCAGACTTCTTTTGCCCTCCTGAAAGTGGTCAG